TTTTCAATTCACATTGTTTCTTCTTTTGCACTTTTCTGTATATCCTATGTATGAATGAAACTATCTGGCTGGTATTTGTTTTTCTTCTGAAGTAGTTGTATTAGCATGCCCCCTCTATTTCCAGCCATGTTCTAGTCAAAGGCAAAACTTTCATTATTTCTCATAACTGATTATTATTCCATTGTGTATGCATACCACAGCTTTTTTATCTATTCATCTGATATTGGGTACTTTGATTGTTTCTAAATCTTGGCTACTGAAAATAGTTTTACAGTAAATATGTTTGAGCTCATATATTTTGAATGAGTATTGCAAAATACAATTTAAAAAGACTTAATGATATTCCAATAATTTATATAATACATATATACCTTTGGGCTGGAGCGATAGCACAGCGGGTAGGGCGTTCACCTTACAAGCGGCCAACATGGCCGACCCGAGTTCGATTCCTCCGCCCCTCTCGGAGAGCCCGGCAAGCTACTGAGAGTATTCGATATGCCAGACACAGTAACAACAAAGTCTCCAATGGAGACGTTACTGGGCCCGCTCGAGCAAATCGACGATCAACGGGAGGGCCTTTACTTTACTATATATACCTTTATATAATGGAATTATGTTTTATATATACCACATACACATTCACATATATATAGAAAAAGGAATTGTGGTATTGGTAATTGTATCCATATAGGTATTTATAATTGCTTGATCTATAATTGATAAAACTTGAAAGTAATTCCCTCAAGTAAAGTGAAAAATAAACTATGTTATTTCCAGAAAATAGAAAATTATTTAGCACTAAGGAAAACTCTGAAGCCATGAAGTCTTGGAGGAAACACACAAACAAGTGTAATACTAAGTGAAACTAATTTGAGAAAGCCATGTGAGTCTAACTAGATGACATATTGAAAATGTCAAAATAATAGAAATAGTAAAATATTTGTCAGACATTATGGAGGGTGGGAGAGATAGGAAGAACATAGATTTGGGGGAGCTAAATCCATGTTATTATAAGTATGTCAAGACTCAAAGAATACACAATACCAAAAGTAGTCTTAGTATAAGCTATGGACTTTTGTTTTGTTTTGTTTTTTTGGGTCACACCCGGCATTGCACAGGGGTTACTCCTGGCTCTGCACTCAGGAATCACTCCTAGCAGTGCTCGGGGACCATATAAGATGCTGGGAATTGAACCCGGGTTGGCTGCGTGCAAGGCAAACATCCTTCCTGCTGCGCTATCGCTCCAGCCCAGCCATGGACTTTTCTAATGATGAAAAGGGAGTAGGGATTATACTTGGAGCACTACATTTTCTACTCAGCCTTGCTACAGACAAAAATTGCTCAAAATTAAAAGTCCAAATACTATAGAAAATTCCCCCAAGGGTCCTCTCTGGCCTGGAGCCACTCACAGTGATGCTCATAGCAGTGACACAGGTCTGGGATTTTACAGCTTTGCCTAGCAGTGAAACATTGCTGGGAACCACCTGGGCCACACACCATGGTGCTGGGCGGGTATAAGGTGCTGGGGAATGAATCTTGGTAGTCTTGGACATACAGGGCATTCATTCTATCCTTTTTTGTTCTAATCCTGGCTCAATAAGGTAAATTTAAAAATAATGGCGAGGGCCAGGGAGAGAGAGAGAGTACTAGAATTAAGGTACTTACCTTGCATGTGGCTGTCCCTGGTTCTATTCCTGGCACCGCATATTGTCTCCTGAGGATAGAGCCAGGAGTGGCCCCTGAGCACAGAGCCAGAGATCAGCTATGAGCCCTGTTTGGTGCCCACCCCCTCAGAAAGTGGCTGGAAATAAACAAAGTGGACAGATAAAACAAAACAAACCTTTACAATGTCACAACAAAATGGTTATTAGCAGAGCAAATGTGAAATGGGAATGGTAGGAATGGGTAGAAAGGGTTAAATGGATAGTGTTAAATTTTACTGGAACTTTGATGCTGGTATTGTGTGATTCATACATTCATAGAGGCATGGAGTGCTACTTGTGAAAGTTATGTAATGTTAGACATCAACAGAGAAATTAAGTGCTGCTGTGCTGGAGGAGGGGGATCAGCCATATGCCTTGTCCCTGAGATTAGACATGAATACAGGAAAGAGGTCAGACTCTTTGTAAGCCCTCTATTTAGGGGTGGGTTGTCCCTTTAATACCCACCTTCCCCCCCTAGACTTAACTCCTGGAAGTGTGTGAAGTTCCCATCTTTATTGGGGACATTTCTCCAGAGAAAGGCTTTGACCACCCCCACCATAGTTCCACTAGCAGGGGATATCTATGCTTTCTGCCTATGGTTCATCTCTCCCAAGTAAGAGTGGTGTTAATCAGGTAAGGCTCTGTTTTAGTGACTCCCTCCCAGGGAATCTGACACTCACTACCCAGAATCTGACTGATTTGAAAGCTTAAGTTTTCTTCCTCTGGTGATATGGGGTCTTCCCCCTCAGAACAAGATCTTAACTTTTATGTAACCCCTGAGAAGACTTTGAGAGTCTCTCCTACGGACATTTATACCAGGATCTCTTGTGACAACAGGGAAGAGTCTGTGAGACGTCCCCTAATAGAGGTTGGTCCCTAAACTCTTTTTAAGACTTTTAAAGTTTATGTTTATTAAATATTAAAGTATAGTGATTTATGTCCCTAAACTCTTTTTGAGTACTTAACCTTCTTTCAGCCACATCTTGAGTATTCTGCTGCTCCACTGATCCAAGTTTACCAAATTCATTCCAATGTATTTATCTTCTTGACCTGTTTTTGGTTTTTTGTTTTTGTTTTGGAGCTACACCTGGTGGTGCTCAGGGACCATTCCCAGATGTATGCCTGGGAAGCCACTCCCTATGTTTCTTGAGGATGTAATGTCCCTGAGGTTGAAGCGACGCCTTCCATATGCAAACCATGAGTACAGCTCACTTAACTATCTCTCTTGCCCCAAATAAATGTCACTTGGTTTAGTGCTGGGGGCCTACTGCCAGCTTGTTGCACAGGGAACCATATAGTGCGCGGGTTCAAACCTAGGCATGCCATGGTGTCAAGCCTCTGGTGATATGGGATCTTACTGTGTTTAATAGCAGTAAGTTATAACACAGTTCTGACTTTGATTAATTATCTCCTGGTGTCCCCGTTTACAAGTTTTTTGACAGAAGGTTTAATTAGTTGTGCCAGGACCAGGGGGGCACCAGGACCACTTCTGGCAGTTGTTGGCCTTGTGTTTCAGGCAAGATGATGTAGTTCTTTGGCCTGACAACGTAGTTCTCAGTCTCCGAAGTGTTCAGGCGCCCAATAGGGCCACACCGGACAGTGATCAGGAGACCATGTAATGACAGGGATCAGACTCAGTGCCTGTACATGCTAGGGATATGCTTTCCATGGAGGGGCCTGGGGTGGTGGTCCAGGTTTAATCTCTGGAATCAAGTGGTTCCCTGAGCACTAGAGTGTGGTCCCTAAAACAAAAAAATTGAGGCCAGGAAGATGGCTCAAAGGCCTCAAAGGGTTATTTGTACACATGCTTTGCATGCAGGAGACCTGGGCTCCATCCCCAGCACCGCCCAGCCCTCTTCACACCACTAGGGATGACTCCTGACCACAAAGCCAGGAGGAATCACTGACCACATCCCACTCTGGTCCAAACACAAAAGAAACAGCCTAGCATTTGAACTGTCTTGCCAGTCATAAGACTTGATTTCTTTATTTTTTGGGGGTCACACCCAGCGATGCTCAGGGCTTGCTCCTGGCTCTGAACTCAGGAATCACTCCTGGCAGTGCTTTGGGTGACCATATGGGATGCCAGGGATCAAACACAGGTTGGCTGCATGCAAGGCAAACACCATTCCCACTGTACTTAATGTAACCTCCCCGAGACTTAACTTCTAATTGAGATGTGATGTCAGAGAATATAGTAGTTTGGGGATACAGAAAACCCCATCAGACAAAATGCTGCTCATGAGGAAAATCAAATACTTCCCCAATAGGATATGTCAGCATCAATGTGAGATAGCCTTTTATCCAAAGATGTAACACCAAGTACAAAACCAGGTTTCAAGGACCAAAACCTAACCTCCCTCTCAGATGTCTTCTTTCAAAACCATGCCCGCTTTATTTACTTAATCTCCAACAAACATTTAGGCCTTGCCTAGAGTTGCCAATGATATAGAAACGGCCCCAATTTAAGTGAATTTGAATGGAGTGTGCTCTGGCTCCTCTATTGCATGGTAGAATTCCAGAACAGTGGATTTCACCTCAAGGGAATTATCACCTTCTGAGAGTATTTCATGGTAACTCCTTGGAGACAAATAAAACATTTCATTTGCATCTTGTGTTCAGTTGCACTGCGCAAGGCTATGGGAAGCTTTCCATCCCTGCCCCAGAAGATTTCTTTCTGGTCTACCCACACCCTAAAATTACAGGTGGAAATACTACTTATAGTGGTCACCATCTGAGGGTTTGGCACCTACTTATGACTTTTCCTTAACACCTTCTTCTTAAGGCTAGTAGCTAGATTTTCTATTTTGTTGGTCTCCTAGTGCAGGAATGCAGCCTTCTTACAAGAGATGCTTAACTAATGTTTAATAATAAATAAGTCAATGACCAGATGTATTGATATATAATGATTTACTTGTACGTAGGTAGCTAGTTTTAAAATAGCAATTTCTTAGAAACAGTGAAAGGAATTAGAAAGCTAGGTATTGACCATCTTATACCTTACTGATGATTTTTCCACATTTTCAAAGAAATAGATATTTTTATGCTAAGATATCTTGTATAAGATGAACATTTTCCAATTTGTTTTACAAAACAGAACTCGACAGTAGAACTCTCAATAAAGTCAATATAATACATAAACTTATACTATATCAGTCATAATTTCAAAGCTAATCCATTAACATATAGAAAGAAACTGCAGATTGACAAGGTATTCATATAGAAAAAAAAGGTATTAAACATGGGGTTACTCAGTAATACCTAGTCCTTCACTGTTGTGAATAATCTCCACCTTCTTTAAATGTAAATAGAAGCATCAATTTCAATTTCTTCATGTATCACTGGATCTTCTGGACATGGATCTGGAGCATTCATGCATGTGGTGATGGTACTGATGCTTGGAGAAAGAGTGGTATTTTCTTCATCTCTCAGCGCTTCTTCATAACAAGACTGGAAGACACTTGGAACTGTGTTGTTAATTTTGGCCAAAAACTCTAAGACTTGCATCTTGCTGATTTTGTCATGAGATCTGGGACCCCACAAGAACTCATAACGGGGTGGGTCACTATGAGCTATCTGGCGATACTCCAAATATTTAAGCTTCACCAGATCTTGAGTGATAAGCTTTTTGGGCTCCCCATAGATGAAGTGCTTCTCTCCAGCATAGACTTTCATCTTATTCAGGAATTCCCAGATAATTTCCTCACTAGCACAATTGCCCTTCATGAAGATCACCCCTAAAACATTCATTAGGAGACTGGTCTTGGGGAATCCCCTACCAGGACTCACTCTGCCATTGTTGGGGAGATCGATTTTGCTGACAAGGGTATAGGAATCCATAGGAGATTCCATTTCCTTCATATCAATACCAAATACCACCTCTATACTGAATGAGGCTCTTTCGAGAATTTCAGGAAAACGGTGTTTGTACTTCTTACCAGTAATCTTCTGCATTTCTGCTTTCAGGATGGGCTTTTTCATTTTGAACCGGCTCATCAGGAATTCTACAAGTATTGCTATCACTTTGGTCAGAGAATCTTCACATGACTTTACAGTGGGGAGTAAAGCCTGGGAGGAACCTTCTTTTTCATCTTTTTTACAGATGACTCTTTTGGTTACTCTTGCATCAACACTCACAGGCACCTTGGTGGTACCCTGAGACTGAAGAGTGCTACATGAAATAGCACCAGGCCCTTGACCAGCAGCTTCTAGAGAATGACTGGGTGAGGAAGATGATTTTCCTTCCTTGGTTTTGGTAGCCTGAGAACCCCTCAGACACCTGGAGCCACGTCGGGCCTGGGTGTAGAACTTACGCTTCTCACTCCGAGGCATGGCAGCTATGCTCAAGGAGAGCAGACAGGATTGTGGACAGGAGAACTGGAGACCTGGACAGAGGAGAGAAAGGATGGAAGATTCTAAGCACCTTCAAACAGGGAGATTATACCTCAACTTTAAGAAGTGCCCTCTACTAATCCCAGCATCCCTCCCACCCTCCATCCCCCCCATCCCACCCTGCCTCTGTGGCAGGGCACCCCTCCTGTTCTCTCTCTCCTACTGGGTGCTGTGGTCTTCAAAAGAGGAACCGGGTGGTGGAGAATGGGCACTGGTGGAGGGATGGATACTTAATCATTGTATAACTGAAATCCAAGCACAAAAATTTGTAAGTCTGCGGCTGTACCTCATGGTGTTTCACTAATAAAATTTTAAAAATAAAGCACTAAAACCCCGCCAAAAAAGAAAACTCCAGCAGCAAAAGGAAAAAAGAGATAAATTGAACTTCACCAAAACCTTCTGTATTTCACCAAAAACCTTTTATATTTCAAAGAATACTATCAAGAAAGTAATAAAATATTTAAAAATAGAAAAAAAAAGAAGTGCCCTCTACAGTTTTTTCTGAAAGCACTGCTCTCAGGATTCCTGTTTGGAACATCCTGTCCTTAGCTCATTTTATTTCCATAATAAAGTGAGAACTAAAGTGAGCTGCCGGCTGAGGTTGGCTTTCTTGCCTGGAGTTTACTTGAAACTGAGAGCGGCAGAGGGCAGGACTATTTTCTATAGAGCAACCTAAAAACTACAAAGCAAGGGGGTCCTCTCAGATCACAATAAAGGAGACCATCATATTAAAGTCCAGCCGACCTTGGGCCTCCCTTTTGATGTTGTTCTAATTTTAGACCTCAAGGTTTATGTCTTGTTGGGATTCCTTAAAAGGAAGTTAAGGGGGGATGGAGATAAAGTATAGTGATCAGGCTTTTGCTTTGTGTGCAGCCAACCCAGGCTCAATCCCTGGCAATCCTGTATGGTGCCCAGAGTCCCACTAGAAGAGATTCCTGAATGCCGAACCAGTAGTAAGCCCTGAAAACTGCCATGTGTGGCCTAAAATGAAGAACAGACAAACCAAAAAAGGGAGGGGTATCTTTTTTTTGGGGGGGGGGCATGACTGGCTGTGCTCAGGGCATACTTCTGGCTCTATAATCATGGATCACTCCTAGAAGTTTCTAGGCAAACATATGTGATGCCAGGGATCAAACATGGATCTGCCACATGCTGAAAAGTGCATTATTACTATCTCTCAGGCCCCATGAAGGGGCATTTTAGCTCACCACTCCTGTGGGAGCTTCCACTAATGAGACATCTGTGGGATTTGGGATTTGTTGAAGTCCTAATTTATTTTCCATTTTCTTGGTCACATTCAGTTGTGCTTAGGGATTACTCTGAGGTTTGTACTCAGGGATCAGTTCTGGTGGGATCAGGGCACCATCTGGGTGCTGTAGAAGGAACGCTGGTCAGCCATTTGCAAGGTCTGCTTAAAGATAAGATAAAAGCCTTATCTGCTGTTTTATCTCTCTGGTATCTGAGGTCCTCATTTCTCATGAGGAGTCTCTGCTCTGCCTCTAGATAGAGGTGAGGACACCTGCCTCTGCTGATCTGATGTACCTTATCTCAAAGGTTCTCAGCAACTGGATACCAGCAAAAAGAAAGGAGGGTTCACATATACCCCAAAACACCTGAAACTTCTCTTCCTCGCTCCTTATGCTGCAAGCAAGGAGTAACCGCTTTCTATTGCTTTCTCTTTTGAGGGGGTTAAGTGATATCACTAGGCTTTAGTTGGAATCCTCACCATAACTCTTGGGAAGTGCTGAGTCTCCTCCCTCTGGAAGAATTGGTGACTCAATTAGACTAAAGCCCACACCTCTTTGGAACTCCAAGATAAATGAGCATGAGCTACAGTTATTCTGGGTATCCTGAGCACCGAGATAATGGCAATAATTTCTAAGACCTCATTTTGGTGGAGGGGGCACACCCGCGGCTTATCAAGGCTTACTCCTGCACTCAGGAATCACTCTGGTGGTGTTTGTGGCACTATGTGGGAGGCCAGGGATTTAACGTGAGTGAGCAGCATGCAAGGCAATTGCCCTATCCGCTGTACTATTGCTCTGGCCCCAAAGATCTCATTTTTTTTATAGTCAATGCTCTTAGTTCTTATTCAGGCATCTGACCTTAACTTTGAGTATGAATTAGGACTCCACTCAAGCCTCATAACAAAGTTTTTAATATGAGTCTGTGAAGTAAATATTGCTGTCTTTTCTTTTCTTTCCTTTTTTTCTTTTTTGAGTCACATCCGGTGATACTCAGGAATTATTACTCCTTACAGTGGTCCGGGGACAATATGGAATGCAGGGGATCAAATCCTTGCAAGGCAAATGACCTACCTGCTGTGCTATTGTTCTGGCTCCAAAACTTGGAGTCTTTTATTTATTCTACCCATTCCTGAAGCCTCTCAGGAGTGACTGTAGATGTATTTCATTGTTGCCACTTCTTAAGTGCAAGCTCCTCTCATCAGTATTCGGGGTCCATAAAGTTCACAGCAGTTAGAGGGGTGGGCGTCTTCCACAATAAGAAGAGCGACATGTGACCAAAACTGTCCTCTTCTTGAGATTTCTGGACTCTGAGCCACCAGTCTACCCCTCCCATATAGCCAAGAAACTCTCTGAAAGCCTTCCAGTAGTGCTACGGGTTGTGTAAACATACAGGTTGTGTAAACTTCACTGTCCCCGCTCTCCCGTTCCCACCGTCTCCTCACCTTGGCTTCCCGTCCGAACTCGTCGGCAAATCAGAGGCTTCCTTCCTTCGCTACTTCACAGTCCCAAGTCCCTGGAACCTTGAAAGTGAAAATAAGAGTCAAATCTAGTCTAGCCTCTAGGGGTCTCAACTCAAGAATCTTGTTTGTGGTGGCCGTGGTGGCCGTGGTGGGGAGGGATGGCCGCCAAGGGGGGTGAGAGAGCTGGTGCCGGGAAACAGATTCTCAGAGAACTCGTTGCTCAGTTCACCTGAAATCAGTCATCTGTTCTCATATTACAATTACAGTGAGTAGATTCTCGATAATTTGAGTTTCGGGGCTCCTTCTGTACTAAACTGAATCCATCAGTCGCTAAACAACGCCCCCCCCACCACCTCAGTAAACTAGTGGCAGAAGTCAGGGGTGATCGTACTGCATCTACTCCCATCGAGCAAGACCCTGCCCTCCGTGAAACGGTGGGACGAGAAATTAAAAGTGTAAAGAAACCACCCACTGCCCACCAGTTCGGCACAGCCTGCCTTTCTCACCCCTCCAGTTTGGCACCAGATGCTTTAATGAGCCTGAGAATTATAAGCCAAGGCCCTCAGGTCTTAGTCAGTAGATACGAAGACGTGACGTGTCAGTTTCCCTCACTAAAACTGAATGTATGGAATGCTGCACAAATTGTGCCTCTTTTGGACATGGCTGCTGTTTAGCTTCCGACCCAGGTCTCTCACCCCTGTAGTCTGATTTATGACACTTACCAGGGCGTAAGATCAGACTAGCGACACCACCGCGGTGCTAAGGACGCCATTCGCAGGGGTCTGCGCCGCCTGACTGCTTAGGCGGAAACCAGGAGCAACAGCATCCGGGACACTGCACACGTGGTTGCCTAGGCTGTGAGGTATTGCGGGGGAGGGGCATTGCAGGACTCCATTGCTTAGGAACCTTGTTGCATAACTTTATTTCTGGCAGCTCAACTTCCTCTTTATCAGGTCCTGGACATACCATATGCTTGCTGCTCATTGGAGTTGGCCAGCCCCAAGTAAACCACTTATTTCTATGAGTTCTTAGTATAGAGGTCAGGTTGCACTGCTTATGTAAACATATGACTGGCAAGATAGAACTCTACGGGCCCCCTTTTCCTTTGAAGTGTAGTTAAGAGCAAACATTTAGGGCTTATATACCTGAGAAAATATGTGCTTCACACATTCTGTCTTTCCCAAAATTTTATCAGTTCTACGTATTTTATGTTGGTAGATATGACATTTTGGTTTACAGCTTATAGTTATTTAATTAAAATTTTGTAGTGTAGTGTTTTTGTTTTATTCGTGAAGTGCTGCCACATGCGCCCAACACTAGAGTGCCAGGAACCTTTTCCATTTCCTAAAGTTCCCCTACCAGTATCTTAATACAACATTTATATTGATCATAGACAGGGATGTTTCTATTGCCAATTGTCTAATCTCTTGTTTCATTACACAATGGAAAATGAATACAATCATATTTATTATATTTATTTTAATTCTTTTTTAAATAAATCACTGTGAGATACAGTTACAGATTTACAGACTCTCTTGATTATGTTTCAGTCATACAATGATCCAGTGCCCATCCCTCCACCAGTGCCCATTCTCCACCACCAATCTTCCCAGTATCCCTATTGCCAACCTACCTCCCCGTCCCCCTCCCATGTCTTTGTGTCAGGCACATACCTTTTACTCTCTGTGTCCTTTTGGGTGTTATGGTTTGTAATACATGTACCAAGTAGCCATCATGGTTCATCAATAGTTTACTTTCAGCACGCACCTCACATCCCAAGGCAGCCCTCCAAGCATCAATTACTTAGTTATTCCTTCTTGTCCCAGCTGCCTTTTTACCCAGCATGTGAGGCTGGCTTCCAAGCAGTGGAGTGGTCCTCCTAGCCCTTATCTCTACTATCCTTGGGTGTTAGTCTCCCATTCTGTATTCCACAAATGAGTGCAGTCATTATTTTTTTTAATAGTGAAACACCATAAAGTACAGTTGTAGACTTAACAAATTTTTGTGCTTGGGTTTCAATTATAAAATGATCAAATACCCATCCCTCCACCAGTGCCAATTTTCCACCACCACGGGTCCCAGTATCCTTCCCACCCCCATCCCCCCCATACCACTCTGCCTCTATGGCAGGGCATTCCCTTTTTTAAAAAAAATATTTATTTCAAATTTGTTTGACTTTATTTGTTTTTTAAATTTTTATTAGTGAAACACCATGAGGTACAGTCGCAGACTT